CTGCAGGGAAGATGCCTCTTCCCGCGGGCACCTCTTCTGCTGATGGCTGGGTCACACTGCCAGGTCCCAAGCCAGCCTGGTGCCTGGGGCAGTGACGTGCAGGGGAGCAGTGCTGGGTGGATGAAACACCCCTGGGAAAAGCGGTGCCTGGCCGCAAAGCTGGGAAAGCAGGTGCAGACTTCTGGCATTTTCTGTGTGCAAGCCCACCTGGGTGAGGTTTCACAGACCCAAATGGACTGGACTGTCTTGCAGCACAGCTCTGTATCTCCCTATTAGGGGTAGCTGGTGTAATCCCCTGGCGCTCAACCAGCTACAAGGCAAAACAGGGGAAGAAACATCCAGGCAGAAAAAAAAAAACCTTTCAGTAGCTGAAGGCTGTGTCATTTATTTCAACAGCTTATATAGTTTTATCAAACCATCTTTAACACAAAACATGTCTCCTAAAAGACAGAATGATGTGAGATCCTACCAGAGATCATCTCAGCTAACAGCTTGCAAAGTTAAACCTGAATTTCAACAGTCAAACCAGCAAAATATTTCTCCCCTCGCCTTAACAATATCTTAAAATGCAAAAACCCAAACAAAAAGATGCCTGTGGCGGGTGCTGCTGGGGCTTTAGGTGGAGCTCACGCACACAGAGCTGTGCTTTGGTCCTCTCCTGATGCTAAGTGGCAGCAGCACAGGTGAGCGGTGCTTGATGTGAAGGCAGCAGGACTGGCCAGGTCCCTTCCCCGCTGCCCACCCTGATGAGGGGCCGCATGGGCGGTCCACAGACCAGGTCAGGTCTAAGATGAGGGTGAGGCTTAGAAAAAACAATAATCTAAATTTCTAACCTATGAAAACAGAATAAATAATAGTCTAAATTTGCAAAGGAGGAAGGTACCTTGGATAGGAAAGTCTGATGCATCTATTATTACTGAAATAATTTTTTCCCCAGGGGGAAAATTGCAGCTAAGGCATCTTGAGAATGGCTCATATCACTACAACCATGGCAGTGTTGCTCTAAATCGTTAGGGATGGGAGTAGAAGTCTTTTGGAGGTGCCAGTCCTTGCACAGCATCTTGCAGCTCTCTAAACAAAAACTGTTGCAGCAGAGGCGTTTGACAGACAACTTGCTGTTTCAGGTTGACTTTTGTCCACAGATTCAACAGCAAATTCTTGTTTGATGCTCACAGCAAGGCCCTCCTCCTTCCCATCCCACTCTCTGTCCACTGTCATGGGGAGGGGCTGTTTTCTTGCCCCTTTGGTCTTGCTCCAGGGTCGCTCTCAGAAGAAGTGGCATCTCTTTGGCTTTCTGCAGAAGGGAGGATTGGGAAGAAAGCAGGGTTACACTCTGCTGAGGAAACAAGCCATCGGTGGTTGCTGTAGCTGATTTTAGTCCCGGGACCATCCCATTCTGTGCAAGTGCCCCTCAGCCTGGGGCATTTCCCATTCACTCAGCAGCCACTGACTGCAGCGAGGAACGGGATGCTCCTCCTGAGCATCTCTGTGGTGCTCCCAGAGACAGCACTGCCCAGCCGTGCTGCCATTTCACGCCGTGCCCTTCCAGCCCGGCTGCCAGGAGCTGGGCTGTGTCGGCAGCAGCTCACCTGCCCCCTCCACGGCGAGGTCACCGAGGCCCTCGGTCAGCTTGCGCATGCTGATGGTGGTCGCCTCCCGCTGGATGTCGTGGACGGCGTTCCTCCGGCCAGCCCGGTCGCAGGCAATGAAGTCAGTGTACGTGCTGGACTCTACCTCCATTGCATCTCCACGCACCTGCAAAACGCTGCGGAGGAAACCCAGCGTGAGGCCAAGGGTGCTCGGCAAGCCTCGAGTCATGGCTCCCTCCGGGTTAGGTTACTCCGTGGGGTTAAGCTACAGCATGAAAAATAGTCCCTGTAACTCTGCTCCGGTTCTGCCAACAGCAGCCACTGAAACCTCAGATACCAGCCCCATCACGTGGGCTGGCACGACCCACCCTGCTGGGTCACCCACCCTGCTGGGTCATTCGCCGTGCTGGGTGAGGGCAAGTAAGCAGGAAAGATCCATGCCAGCTGCTTTACTGGCCCTCGTTCTGCCTTCCCACCACAAAGCAGGGCAAACAAGGCATTTGCCTCTCCTTTTGAGTTTCTGCCCTTCTCTTGTAGGAGCTGCAAGGTCACTCACAGCAGGCTTTTCCTACAGAAAAAAACATTACAGAACAAGCCCTCCTTCCTCCTCAAAATGCCACACGAGTTGTGAACAGAGGCCAAATTTGGCTCCTTGCACTGGGGGGGTTGGGATGCTGAGCCAACCTGAATTTGTAATGGGAGATGATCAGAGCCCCGATGGAGACCTGCTGGAAAGCTTGGAAACAGTGTTTTGGAAGGGCTTTGGATCAGTACTGCCCCCCACGGGCTGCTGGATGTCACAGAAGTGTCAGGCTGAACTGCTTTGAGATAAGCTCTTCACCATGTGAAAATCAACCCTTCTGTGAGGCATTTGGATCCCTTCACTCCAGGCTTGTGTCTGTGCCAAGCACAGAGCACAAAGAAAGGCTCGGAGCAGTGTCTTGCCAGTTACTAGGCCTAGCATGAATGACACAGCCAGCAGAAAGACAAACCAGTACCTTGACTGTGTTGAATATAGAAAAGTCATTCCATGAGCAGTCGCCGGGGGTACAAATAAGTCAATTAGTTCACACACAATCAACATCACCCCCAACGATCCCAACAACAATACTGCACAAGAACCAAGGTTTCCCATAGATGGAATGGGAAACAGTCAGGTCAACAGGTTAAACATATAAGATAAAGGTAGACACATGGCCACCTCACCCTCCTAGACAACGTTTAAAAAGGTCCAAGCTGATCAGGACCCAGTTCCAGGGATAGTCAGGAGGTCCTTCCCCAACCAGGAAACTCTGTGAAGTGTGTCCACTTCACAGACAGACACTCCTTCCTTCCTTCAAGTGGTCCCAGCTTTTATCCCTAAGGAGACAGCTGACCTTTGTCAACTCAGTGCAGGACCCCTGGGGCTCATTTCCCTTCTGGCTCTCCCTGCAGGGCCGGCCGCACCCTGGGGGGAAGCTATAAGGCAAACCCACCTCCTCTTTATGAAGGGCTGTGGGAATCACCCATGTGTCAACCTGAATTCGGGGCTCAGGGTTCAAACCCCAGCATTTCAAGCACCCACTCGTCACCCGTGAGCTCCACTGTGAGCCAGCTCTTACTTCAGCCTGATGAATCCTGGAGTAGTTGGGGTCTCCTTTCAGCTGGCAGTGTAACTTGCCAGCCTTTGTCCAGCACACAGAGCCCGGGAGCTCAGCAGCTCACAGAACGTGGCTCCCGGGCACACAGCCAGCAAGTGCCACTGCCTCTGCTCTGCAAACCTGGTGCTCTTGGTTCCTCCTCTTCTTTGCTCAGTTGGGCACTGAGTTTGCCTTTTGGCACAGAAATTAGAGATTCATTTTTCTCTTACCTGCAGTTCTGCTCACTGTAAAAATTGCCTCCAGCCCTGCTGATGTCAGTGGCTGAAGGAGGTCCCCATTAGAAATACTCGTGTTTAATAAAAAAATTCAGCTTCTTGCCAGTCACTTGCTTTTGTGTCTTGGGGTTAATGACCCACTAAGAAGTCTACTTAGCCTCCTGTACAAATCCTGCCTAGTATTGATCTTCCAACCAGGGAATCTGCTGGCAGATCACCAGCCTGGGCAGGAATCACACCTCTCACTCTAATCCCTGAGGTTACAGCAGTAGAAAGAAGATGCTGGCAAAGATGCAATAGCCAGGATAAAAGAAGTTAAGTTCTCTTTGTTCCTGAGACTGAGCAGGGTGCAGTAACCTAAAACCTCCAAAAACCCAGCATGTTTTGGTAGCCCCAGGGACTCCTCTCCTGGTGCTGATGCCAGCGCAGAGAATGATGGCACCAGCTCACTGGTGGGACGTGGACTTGGCCCACCCAGACTCCCAGGAGAACCTGCTTCTCCAAACCCAGCAAATCCTTGCAAACACCCACCTCCTCCCAGGGGTCGGCACCCATCTAAGCCCTCGTTAAAGGAGCCCCAAGAAAAGCTGCACCCATTGCCCCAGGGAGAGATCCCAGCTGTCATTTTTCCTCGTCTTCCCTCCTTCATTTCCAGGCATACCCTTCCTCGGACAAGATGCCTGGATGCAGCAGCCTGGCTGATGTCAGCAAGCAAAGCACCTTTTCCCTAGGACATGATGAGCATCCATCATTCCCAGACTAGTCCTCCTCACAGCCCAGAGGCTGCTGACCTTCTGTAGCTGCTGGAGAGGTGTCACAAGGACTTGGGAGGCTTCCCTAAGGGTGGTCCACATGAGCCTGAGCCCACCTGCACATCAGGGAGACCAGTCCAGAGCTGATATGCTCAGGAATCCTGCCCTTGCACCAGCAGCTGGAGACCACCTGGTTTGCAGGATCGACTCCACAAACTAAGGAGCAGGAGCCAGGAGCCAGCAGCCCCTAGGGATGCTGCATTTTCACAGAATCATAGAATCACAGACTGGCTTGGGTCAGAAGGGACCTTTAAAGCTCACCTAGACCAACCCCACCCTGCAGGGAGCAGGGACATCTGCAATGAGAGCAGGTTGCTCAGAGCCTCATCCAACCTGACCTGGAATGGTTCCAGGGATGGGGCAGCGACCACCTCTCCGGGCAGCCTGGGCCAGGGGCTCACCACCCTCGGTGTAAAAAATATCTTCCTTATCTCTAGTCTAAATCTCCCTCTTTTAGTTTAAAACCATCACCCCGTGTCCTGTCACAACTAAAAAGATTGTCCTCATCTTTCTTACAGGCCACTGTTAAGTACTGAGGCTGCAATAGGGTCTGTCTGGAACCTTCACTTCTCCAGACTGAACATCCCCAATTTTCCCGGTGTCCCTGGATGTAGCTTCCCAAGGTAGATGTGCTGAGCTGCAGCAGCGCTCTGCCAAGGGACTAAACCCCCATGGCGTGGGGAAAGGATGGGATCTTGGTTTAAAGTAGGGGCAGGAAGCCCAGTGTGCAGGTGCTGGTCCAGCCCGGGGCAGGGCTGGGCCCCAGCTCGGTGGCCAGGAGATGGCGTCTGTGATTTAGTTATTTCCCTGGGCTGAGACGGTTCCTGCCCTCAGCTCTCCATGCAGAGAGCTGGAGTGGGGCGGGTTTACCAGCAAAGCTTTCAAATTTGGGCAGTTCCTTCAGGATTTTCAAGGTGGGCAGCTCTCAAAAGCTTTGCAGGCAGATCCTTCCCCGCTGGCAGAGACACTCCAGCCTCTGCCTCCAGGAAGCTGTTGGACCAAGGAGGTGATGGGAGCAGCCGCCTCAATTTTTCATAGAAAAACCCGGGTTTTCAAAGAGCATTTCAGCATTTCCAGGCAAGTGCAAAGCACTTTGGTGGGGTTTTAGTCAGTGGAAAAATCTTACAGCATCTGCCAGAGGCAAGAGGGGAACCATCCCTCTTGCCCATGTAGTTCCACCTGGAACCGTGTCACTGTGGACAGCCATCTAGCAGGGGCGGGGGGTGCAAAGTGGGGGTGCATCACCCACCAGCTCCCCACCTCGGTTGTTCATGCTCATGTGCATTTCCAGAGCACTTCACAGAGATGATTCAAATGTCCCCAGAGGGTGATTTCTTGCCTCCCTTCCCTCCTTACTGCCAACGGCCACAGGAACGGTCTCTGTGCCCTCGTCACAGTGTGCCAGCCCACAGGGACAGGGTGGGGCATGTGTGGCACAGTGACAAAGGCCATTGGCAGGGGGCTGCGACCTGCTGCTCCTTGCACATCCCTCAAAAGCTTCTCTGTGCTGTCTGGAGGGAGGCTGTGCCCCCTCCACTCTGGGGAAAGGATACTGCCCATGAGGAGGGGAAGGAGCCCCTCGCAAGCTGCCACAGACACCAGGCACGTCCCCAGAACCACTTCTGTGCCCGTGCCCCCCTGAAACAACCTGGCTCTGCACAACCTGCCATTTGGCCTGGACTTCTTTTTCCATAGTGTCTTGTGAGGACTAAAAAATCTGGAGCCGTGCTAGTCTTGGGTTTGCTGGCATGGACACGGCTTCCGGAGCCGAGACCGCAGCTGGGCTCGCCGTCATTTTCCAGGGGAGTCACCCAGCAGCTGACGGAGCAGCTGGCTCTGCTCTGGGGGCTGCGCCTAAACCAGCCCTACTCATACCAGGGCTGAACTGTACCCATTTACTACACGGATGTGAAGACATTAAAGCGTTAAATTTTTCATCTGCCTTTTGGTAGAAGAAACCAGGGCCTTTTTTTGGGAGTCTGCTCAATGCCCCGCTTGCTCCCACTGACAAGCCAGCATTTAATCCCCACTTCACCCCTTGCCTGCTTCTTCACAGCACAGATCCCAGGGACTACAAACAAACAGTTACTGCAAATACTGTAAGAGTGGCAGACAAATGACCTGGAAACACCACAGGCAGGTTAAACTCCACGCAGGACCATGTGCCTGCAGAGCAAACACAGCCCTGTGATCTGAGCCAGTGCCCGGGGTTTAATTCCAAGGGATCGGATGGATGCTACAGCCACACCCAGCCCCGGACTCCAGTTTCAGGGAAGCTCTTCACACAGTATTGCATCTGTCCCTCACTGAGGCTAAACTGTAATCTTTTTATGGCTAGGAAGGGCTATTTTTGGACTCAGCACTAACGTTCCCTACCAGCAAGTTGGGCTGAATTCGGTCAGCTTCCCCTTGACTGCCTGCTTCACTCCTTTCTGCCCTGCCTCTCTTACCTCTTGCTTTCCTCAGTATTTTCCAGTCCATGTAATGCACCTTCACAGGGGGGGTGAAGGGCC